CTATGCAGCTTTGCTATCTCTATAGCGACGTCGGCGAGGAGCCGTGAACCATGCGCCTGTGTCTGCGGTGCTACCCCGGGCTGAAACGCCATGCTCAATTCGTCGTACAAGACGCTCTCCTCTAAACATCCTGGTCTCCTCCATTTCCTCTCGACCACGCTCTTTTATTCCTGCCCATACGTTCGTTTCAACCGTGTACTTCTCATCAGACATTCACCAGTTTCAACCAACTCCCCTCGGCCTGGTCGACAACTTTGCATGAATTCGCGGAGGACACAGGACACCGGACACCATTATCGTCGCCTCATACAATGGATGTCAATGCCAGCGCGGTCTCACCCTCCGGAACTCCTCTGCCCTGGCAAGTCCCCGACAGGGGGCCGCTCCATCTTGCCATCGTCGTCACGCTGGCCTTGACCGGGCTGTTGATTTATTCGCTAAGAGCCTTCACTCGTGGAAGGCTCGTTCGCTCGTTCGCCGTCGATGATGGGCTCATGGTACTGGCCGCTGTACGTTCGAAACTTGGAGTGAACAGGTTCTATATTAGCTAACACTCAAAACAGCTATGTACAATAGGGATCTTCATCACATTCACTGGAGTCGTAGAGCTTGGTATCGGGCAGCAGGAGGATGGCTATGTCTTACCGGTCAGCAAGACCGTTCAGATGGGCCCATGGATGTGGGCGTTGAATTCACTCGTCATCTTAGGGCTGGGTGCTGTTAAGCTATCGGCTACTTTTACTCTTCTACCTCTGGCTGACGCCGGGAGTCGTTCGTGCTTGCTGATGGTACGCACCATTCTTCTGATCGGACTCATGTGTAGGTCTACAGCCACCATATTATGTAACGCAGAAGCTGATGAACACAGTACTAGTATTTTGGCACACGGTTGAGTGGTTCATATCACTCCTCGCTCAATGTGTTCCACTAGTAGCGGCCTGGGACCTTTCAGATGCTAGGGCATTGTGCATGTCCCAGAGCGAGTCCAAGCACTGGGCTCTGGCGAACTACCGTAAGTATCGCCATCCATAAATACTAGAAGTGGTACTGACCGGGTGTTCCAGCCATCAATGCTGCATCAAGTCTGCTATTGATCTTGTTCACGATCCCTATCGCCGTGAGCTCTTCGTTGAAGCTCGGATCTACCCTACATCTTCTTGCGGTGGTGTCTTTGGGACTCTTTGCATGCGCGGCAGCTATCATCAGAACCTGGATGGTCGTCACGTCATGGGCCGAGGTCGGCTATCGTAACAACTTCGACTTGAACTTCACCACGTGGGGAATTTGCGAGTTCCTGACCGCGATGATAGCTGTTAACCTTAGCACCTTGTTGCCTCTCGGTAGAGCAATCCGCAGTCCCGCCAACGCTGCCCGTGACGCTCCACGTTCCGTTGGCATCTCCGGCCCCGTAGCCGGTAGTACCGTCCACCTACTCCATGGCGATGTCGACGAGGTAGTTCCTAGCTACTCCGAGACTTACCCAGAGGAAACAAACCATTCTTACAACTCCCGCTACTCAGGTCAGACAGTCATCTACAGGCCCGACACAGCCTATTTCCCCTCCCACTTTCAACAAAGCAACCACAACTTATCGCGTTTCCACGACGACGAATCAAATCTCGACTTTGACATTGAGGCTCCGTCGACACGGTCCAGCCCTCCTCGTAAGACAACGAAACTAGGGCCGTCGTCACGCTTCTCCGCGTCAACAGTCAGCACACACACACGTAGAGTGAGTGACTGGTCACAGCTCAGTGGAGACTCACACAAAGACTCTGAAGCCGATTTCGAGAAAGAAAAGAGTGGAAGAGTCAGAGTGAGTGCAGTGGAACTTGAGGAGATTGTGAAGAGCTTAGGCCTGAAGAGACACGGTAGTCATGGGACCTGGGACAAAGAGCTAGGCTCATCCGAGGATAAGAGCGAAGATGGAGGAAGCAGTGTTGCACCAACAATATACCTCGAAGACGACGACGTAGAGGTAGATGGAGCTGAAGACATATGCACATGCCCAGCGCCAAGGGCAAGGGATGACGCGAGTATGCAGGCTGAGGCAGACTCGAGCGAGGTCACTGTGATACGCATACGTGGCAGCGCGAAATGCAGTCTCCATAGACAAGAAGCTGGCGCTCGACCGGCTCATTCGCGACTCAACTCTGGAGAGTGGATCGCGCGCGCATCGTGAGAAGTTTTGCCATTACGGATTTTCCTTTGTCATCGGCAGCGACTTTTTCCTTGAAGACCACTTTGCGTCTTAACCCGCGGCGGTGCCGTTTTCGGTCGGAGTCATATACCATCATCACCATCTCTTTCTTACATACATCATTTCATGTTCTGCAAGGCAAGAAAAGACGCCAAGAACGCGCGCCTTGCACGTATCGTTTCTACAAACTCAGATAGCTCCTGCAGTCATAGTCAATAGTTATAATTTCCTAACTCCCATCTAAAATGTCTCGGTGCTGTCTACTTCATGAACGGGTATTGAATTTACTCAGTCCACCGCTTCTTGACATATTGCGCCTGGTGGCCACCGGGTAGTTCACTAACCCAAGCATCAATCTCTTCTTTCACGACACGCGGAACTGTGCACTTGTTCATCGCAGCAGCATTCTGCGTCTTAAGCGTAGGACAGTTCTGGTAGCAAGGCGAGTCAAGAGCACGTTGGAGCGCGTCGCCTTGCCAGCCGAACAGATAATCTCCGTGGTTCGCGTAACCCGTCCTAATCGACAAACATCGAACATTAGTGGCCGCATTTTCTTGCACGAATCGCAACGAGGGCTTACCCATCGCCGAAACTCCAGACGAATGGTTGACTACCATCCTCAGGCCAATCAGCCTTGTTGTTAAACTTGCTTGTGTCCTACAATGATACGTGTACGAAGTCAGTATATGCCCTCAGATACAGTTCGTCTAGGGATGTCTCGTACCCAGATGACTTCGTAGAAGAGCTGACCCATGCGTACGGGATGACTGGCGGGACAGGGGCCGCCAGATTCAAAGGAGCCGAACTCGGGGTAACTCATGTGTGCCTAAGATGTGGGTATACAAAGTCAGTATATGTCTCATATTCAGTTCGTGAAGGGACATGTCTCACCATATGATCTGGGGAATCAAGGTTGACTCCGTCCCAGCAGCTAGGTGGGGTATCAGTAGGACCACAAAGGCGGATAGATGGATGAGCATGACGTACGTGGGGAAGCGAACTGCAGTCATGATGCCCGTCTTGCATGGTTGGGTAGGGAAATCAAGAGTCTGCGGATCACGCGTGTTGATATTGTCTAGACAAGTGAATGTCAATTGGCGGAAGCGCTCGGCTTCCTCCTTGGTACGGGCATTCACGTCGCCAATGAACATGCGGAAGCCGGGCTGGAAGGCCTGGACTTTGGAGGTTTGCTGGAAGTTGTAAAGCCCATCTTGCATGTAATATACTGTCATGCCTCCGTTGACGCCGTTGAAGCCTGAGTTGGGAATTTGAGGAACGCGCTTGTATGTGCCGTTTCGGGCTTTAAAGTATAGCACGGCTGTCCAGTAGTTCTATAGGCTCGTCAGATTGACCCAGACGTGTCGAGGTGTGAGTAGTATTGCTTACGGAAAAGTCCTCGCTGAACTGGCAAGATGTACATGTCGACTCCTCTGGCATGTCCTTTTCCGGGTCCATGGTAACATTGAAAGAGTTACCCCCCAGAATTTGATGTAAATGAGGAGATGGAGCCTGGCCAGGTGTGACCAGCGGATCCAACCTGTCGATTACTAGCTGAGCGCATGGGAAGCGCAGCAGTGCAGTTGCGGGTGCGACAAGCGCCAGAGCGGTAGCAGTGAACGCCTTCATGTTAAGAGAGTGGTGAGCTGTAAGGGAAAATAGCAAAATGAAAGTACAACTGTGCGCAGAGTATAGCACGTCTTATAAAGCCGCGTGAGATATGCATACGATGTCACCGGGATCAGGGGTAGTAACGCCGAGCGGGTATGCTGTGTCGCAAAGGCATAATCCGGTCTTGGTAGAAATCAAAATGGGCATTATCTCGTGTTGGGATGGAGCTAGAGCAATTATGGATCCTTGAGCTGGACGCGGATACATGCTGGCATCGCATGGATGGTTTCGGTGCACATCAACGTCTCTTAATTGTCATTCCCGATTGCTCATCATCCACTCACGTCTATTCCTCCTATCGTATCGGGCAGCCATGTCAGTCATGGTACTTCTAGTGGCATCGAGCGCACTTCGTGATCAGCTGGGGCAATTCGCACAGTCTCATTACGATGATGAACGTGACGCATTTAGTCGGCAACAACGTTGCTGTGATTGAAAACGGCCCCTCCTTGAGCCCGGACAGCTCCAGTGATGTTGATCTCCGAGATTTGTTGAATATCGCAAGTCTTGACATCTCGTCGGCAGTTGCATCGATGGATAGCGGAACATGTAACGCCCCACTTGTACAATGACACCTCACGTGACAAGAAAGCGATGACTGGTTGTTTGGTATTTTGGCTGGATGATGTTCGTGGACGTTGAGACAAGGTTCCACGAGCCTCAATCTATCCCATTTGCCGCCGCGCCAAGTTGTGGGGTACCAGTATCCCCAATTCTTTTAATTGTTCAGGCCCCGTACTTCATCAATGCATGCCACTCGTACGGGATTCTTGGCACGTTATAGATGATTTGCGCATGCTCATTGGACCATTACAGGGCGCCCAGCTGAGGAAAGTGAATGACGACAAAGGAGGGCAGTTGCATGGCTTGGGCGAACGGCAGGTCAGAAGAACAGGCTGTTTGAGTAGAATGGATCTGATCGCAAGGTTAGAGACTTGATCAACCGGGTACGCTTCCTTGAAAGTAATATAGTCCATGTGGTGCTGTCAGCTAGAGCCTCTGAAATCTCAGATATCCTTCTGGAATACAGAATTCTTCTGTTGTTCGACTTTAGAAGCCTTCCCATCTCTTTTTCATTGGACAGCTTGTTACACGACATTATTTCTCCTTACTGGACAGCTCTGAGTTAGCCATGAGAACCGCTGCTCTCCTGGCATGCTGCGTGTCGGTCGCATCTGCCGCGTTTGACTTGAATCGGGGTGGTGCTGTGCTCAAAGCACCAGCAGGCGACTCGTTTGCCACCGTCACAGGGACTGTGAGTTGCTTCCATGCTGTATGTGATTGTGTACCAACTACATGTACAGTTTACAGTGCCGAACCTGTCGGGCACCAATCGACTCTCGATCTGGGTGGGCATTGGTGACACACTTGAGCAGGATAACGTCCTTGGTGGTGGGATTGTTTATAACAGTACCCTTAAGAGCTTCTCTGCGTACTTTCCTGGTCCAGTGACGGACGCCACTTCGACTGTTCCTGTTGCAAATGGTAACTCAATCACTGTAACTGTCAATGTGGCTACCGCTGGGGGTACCGTGACCATCGAGAATAAGACTCAGAACAAAAGAACGACGCAGACGCTCGCAGCCCCTACCGGCGTGGACCCATCCGCTTTGACTGCTCTTGCGGCAGACTGGTTCGTCCAGGCATATCAAGTAATTCCAGGTCAGCTGGTGGCCACGCCAAACTTCGGGACGGTATCTTTTACTGCCGTGACTGCGACGACCAAGAGCGGCGTGAACGTTCCGATCTCTGGCGCAGGAAGATATGAGATACAAGGAACCAGTGGACAGGTTAGTCGTGCGTGTTACTTCGTGTACTTCGGCTAATGTTTGGGCAGATGTATTCGAGGACGACAATATCAAGCACTGGCATCTCTGTGCAGAGACAGACGGTTTAGAGGAGACCATGGCCGAAAGATGAACTAGACGTTGCTGTGTCGCTGTATCGCCGTACATAGTGGCGAATAGATAGGTTGAGAATATGCCATGTATATGTTATGTTTCTAGGCCTGGAAAAATGCATGCGATATCGAAGTACTAATCCGCGATGACGATGATAGAAGAAGACGTGATGATGATGATGCCGATGATGGCGTTGGTGAAGCAGCAGCGATGACGTTCGCTTGAGCGGCTTTCCCCTCCACATTTCTCGACGCGTCGCGACATCCCGCCTGCATTGTGCGACGACAACGCAAAGATGCGCTTCAAGGCGTCAATACAGAACATTACAACCTTTACGAGCAGGTACACGTGCCTCATACGTGAGATGGCAGCTGACACCGTCTAGAGCTTACAGCGTCGCTCAATTCGCTCGGCCCGCTCGCGTGGGTGAAGCTCAGCGAGGAGCAGGTATGCTTCACCATCATACCAGAGCAGGGCACACAAGTATGGGCGTGAGTAGACGCTTCGTATCTTGGTGTCGTTCGTTCTAACCAAATGTAGTGTGCTCTCAATTGTAAGCATATCGTCTCGTCTTGGCCGTGTGGAGGTTAACGCGCCGCGCAGGACTCCATCTTTGAGAGCATCAGCGTGCAGTCGGCTGCAGATAATGTCATTAACCTCGAAGTTCCGCTCGCGTCGCTGAATCGCGCCCTCAAGTCAGCGTTCAATGCCACGTCGGCCCAGATACGCCTCACCAAGAAGGACAACCTGCCCGTGCTCGCTCTTACCGTCACCACTACCCCGTCCTCGAACACGTATAGCGCCTTCCCTACTACTTCAACCAATGAGGACGACGACGACGACGATGAGTACGGCGACGACGATGACGATGGCTTCGATGCCGCCTTCGACAACGAATTCGGTGGAGGCAACCGCGAGACCATCATCACGCAAGAGATACCTATACGTGTGCTTGCTCCGGATACGGTAGCCCATCTGCATGAGCCTGTCTGCAGGGAGCCCGACGTGCACATCATACTGCCGCCCTTGATGCAACTGAAAAGCATCAGCGACAGGTTCACCAAACTAGCGCTGGCAGACACCACCAAGGCAAGCAGTGCGACGACCGCAGCGAGAACCCGCCTAGATGTCTCTGCCAATATGCACGGATGCCTCAAGATAAGCATTAGATCTGACGCCATGAACATATCTTCCATCTGGACCGATCTCAGCAACCCGGAGCTAGACCCTGGCCACGTCGCTGGCGGCGAGGACGGCGTTGCTGAACACCCGAGCACGCGTATGAAGCAGCTAGGGTCGGCCGATGGGCGTAGCGAAGAAGGGTGGGCCACAGTGAGGATTGACGGGCGGGATTGGGGCAAGGTCATGAGCGTGGGCAGACTGGGCGGGCGGGTCATTGCTTGTAAGTTTCACGAAGCCCACTTCTACCAGCATGCTAATACTCCAAAATGCTTCTGTCACGAGCATGCACTCATTCTCTACGTGTACTTGCCCAACGATAATGGCGAGGACGAGTCAGTCTTGACGGTACGTTGCACTTCTCATGCTCTCATCCACCACGCTGACATTCACTCAGTACTTCATCAGCTCCTACAGCGCATAGCAAATTGACCTCGATATCCGCACCACGCTTACGAGTCACGAACTAGATACCATTTCTCGCGAGAGCTCAACTTTCAACACACTTTCACGTTTTTGTCCACCGTAGAAGTACTTCCATGATCTTGTGGTGACGTGCTTCAACAACTTGCTAATCCGGCATACATAAGGGTCGTATTACTCGTGTGCAAGCTACAAAACGCGGCTGGAAGCGCTGGCGGAAATTAGCATGCCATTAGCCGAAGGCAACAGAAGGGCGCCTAGAACTTCGAGCTATGGGCACCACTTCCAGACTACGCCTCGTGCTTCGTGCTACCTTTTCACGACAGTATAAAGTATGTCTATGCTCGTGTCTTCGAGCGAGATAGGTTTATCCGCGTAGATCTTCCATACTGCAACATGGACGAACTAGCTAAAGCTCCTTTCACCGCCTCACTGCCTTCACATCCATCCAACCTGAGCGACCTGCACACAGTCAATACCGACGATACATGTTTTCTCACCAATCTTGCGACTGAACTCGTTCATCGTATAATCGATTTTATACCCCCCGCATCCCATATCGACTTCGCATGTTCCTGCAAACATTTATACGCATGTTCCGCGGACGTGTTTAAGCGCCATCGTGGCGCCCAACTGAAATACGGTGTTGCGTCTGATATTGACCCTGCTACGATTCCCACTCTCCTTCGAAGCGCATTTGGATATGGTGACCCTATTTTGGCATGGCACGTTCGATCCTTGGAAGTCTGGTACGACCGCAGAGGATGGGGCATGTGGAAAACGCTCGATTTTGAAACACCTGTCGATCAGAGTACGCAGTCGCCGATAGCGTGGGAGTTTATACCTGGCGAAATCGACGATTATTTAGCGCGACTGGAGCAGGGACAGGGTCGTCTTCTACCCCGGCGTATCGATGAAGCACGTACGCAGATCCTGGACGGGCATGATACTTACCTAAAAGCCCTCCTTGTTGTTCATTGTCCGAGACTTCGCGATGTCAAGTTTGTCTTACCAGCGCGTCACGAGGTCGAAACATGTTCTTGTCTTGGATGGCTTGACACCTTTATAAACGATTCTCATAACAAGAAGACTTCTTGGGGCCCGGGACTGCAAAACCTACAATCAGCCGCGGTCGGCCTACCTTCGGGGACCTGGATGGACGATGCCTTCCATCCTAACACAGAGCCTCTAAACAGCATAGGGATACTGGTACAATTCCTGCGTCTACCTCACCTGAAAAGGTTATATTACAAAGACCTCGAGGACACCAGTGACGATGATGTATCTTGGGACGTGTTAGTACCAGCCGGAGCTTCCAGCATCAAACATCTCTTCCTGGACAATTGCGGCGAGCTAAACAGCGGGCCTCTCAATGCTCTTGTGGCCGCTCCGTCAGCCCTCCAAACAGCCTGTTTTCGCGCCGGCGATGCATTACTTGAACACGCCGACAATTGGGTCGGCAGTCTAGGCAGCTGTCAAGGACAGTCGCTCGAAAGCCTGATGTTCTACGGCTATGACTCTAATGGTAATATTCATGGCTATCGCTGCGGCGCCTTCCGCCCGGAAGAGCTCAACGATCACAGAGCTTTGAAGCATGTCTGCATGGACATTGCAGATTTTGAACTCGAAGCCCTCTACAATATAAAATGCGATAGAGAAGAGTGGGAAAGCGATGGAGCGCTTGCCGAACGCACTTTTTTCGAATGTGTGCAGCAGTACGAGGTAATAGTTCTTTGGGGGTCGCTTGGTAACTTTTACGTTCAATGGGAACCGACTGAGGAACAAGGCTTTGAAGATGCGGTGATAGCTGCCCTCGGACCCGAGTCTTGCACACTAGCCATGTACTTGGAAGACGTAGAGAAGCACAGCGCAAACTTGAGTGGAATAGAGAGCCCATCTCAACCCATGGAAAAGGATAAAATCTGGTTCCGCCGCGCGATCGAAACAGCAAGGAAGCGTGGCGTCGATCTCCACACACTCACAAATCGGAACAAGCCAATTCACCAGATCGAGTTTCCTGAGGCGCCTGATAAGTACGACCTCAAGACTGGACCATGGGGTGAGAGACCAGAGGATTGGGTCTTCAATGTGTATACCGGCCGCAGGGAACCGCAAGGCTGCGGGAAATGCGGGGATTGTGACGTTTGCTTTGGGTACTACAGTAAAGAGATGTGGGATGGACTAAAGAAAGAGCCGAGGAAGGTCCTGTATGACGGCAAGAATGAGGATGGGACGTCAGGCTGGTAGGAATGGATCGATACTCGATTACGAAAAGTCGTGCTGCGGGTTTTCTTGAGATTATACATGCTAACATATCGACTATGTTCGTACCGCAATGTCTTTGGGGATGAGCCTAGTCATGGCATGTGTTATCAAGAATAACCGCTACGGTCTGACTGTGAAGACGAATAATTCTATTCAATGATCGAGCATGCCGTCATCTTATGTATTCTCAACCATCTTCCATTTTCTTCTCCCTATTCTTTCGTTTCGTCACGGCCTCAACAACTATGCTGTTGGGTCACGAACATCCCCATATATCCCAACAAAATACATGAACAACCGCAATTGGGACACTAATGAGGACCTTGCCTAGTGGCTGACAGTCAGCTGGTCAAGTGATCGACGCACTCCCCTGATCTTGTCCCTGGCTGCTTGAAAATTTTATCCAATACCCCAATCGGTCGTTTTCTTGGCTTGTTTGTAACCTTGTGATAGGGCAATGTTCTATGCGTTTTGTATGTCTCGTGCTAAACGCCACAGGACGGCAATTACGATCTGTTAAGCAAATGACCACCTGAAAGTTTCAAGTTCACTCAACAGATCTTTAGCTATCATCATGCTTCAAGCATAAAACTCACGATGCTCCAAATGTCTTCACTTTCTCTCAGTTTGTCACCAACCATTGTTCTCGTCACCTTCTTCCACTGCCATCCAAAATGACAACCCCATCACAACCGCCCTTCTCCCCACACCACTTCCACCGCATAACAAACACTTCGAACTCCTCCAACCCCACCCTCGACGTCATAAACGATGTCGGCAGACAAAACAGTACCGGTCTCCTCAAACTAACTCGCGAAGGGTACTACTCTGGCCAATACTGGTCATTCACTCCTTCAGGTACACCTCATTGCCCTCCCCAAGCTAGCGAGCCATCAAGAGATACGACCTCCACCTCCAATACCACCTACCGAATCCGAACATGGTGGCTGGGGCCAAACCGGCAACTCGACGTCTACGCAGATGACATGTCGAAAGCGGTGCTGAGGCGGGCAGATGCTACTGATACAGCAACTGCGCTGGACTGGAGTGTCGGACAGTGGGACGATGGTACGTGGTGGATTGGGAATGAAGCGAGTAGTGTGTTGAAAGTTTTGGACGTTGGCGAGAGGGAGGATAGGAGGGAGGTTGTGTTGAGTAAGAAAGACGAGGGGAGGAAGACGCAGAGATGGAGAGTTGAGGTTATTAGGGAGATTCTTGAACAGGAGTATCATGAGAGACCTATTACTCCGACTCCGGATTAGGCGATGCAGCCTTGAATGGACTGCTAGTAGTGGACTTGGGTGTTTGACTTGCAATGGACACAGCAACTTATTGATCTTGGTCGTTCAGTTCGTTTTTATTTCATCTATTTATTTACACATTATTGATGCAACCTACGTTTATGAGGCAGGTGCAGCGGAGCCGTAAGGAGTGGGCTGAACACTCTCGATGTCGACGTATCCGTACTTGCTTCCGGTCTTGTCGTCTGAGAAGCCTTGGGCCCAAGTACCCATGTCCTTCTTGAACGCCTCAAAGTTCTTCTCGTCACTCAGGTCAATAGGCTGGTGGTCCTTGCCCAATTGCCTGATTTGTGTGCCAGCCGCGACGTTGGTCATACCGAAGTCGTTGTCGTCGGTCAATTGGTCGATCGCAGCATGAACCTCGCCGTTGATGATCTGGCGAGGCAATTCGGGCTCCAAGCACACTGGGCGGGCAAGTCCGACACCGTCGACAGTTTTCAATGCGTCCACCATGGCGGCAGCACTCTTCAAGCCACCAGTAATGTAGGTTTTGGTCTTGGAGAGCGAGGGTGTGATCTTCTCGGCGAATTCGAGGAAGAAAGCTTCTCGCTTCTTAGTTGACTCGCGCTGGTGACCGAAAGCAAGCTTCTCGTATGTACCACCAGACAGCTCGACGAAGTCGAAGCTGTTGTCCTCAAGCAACTTGCACAAAGTCGCAGCCTCCTCCGTGTCGAAACCCTTGTCTTGGAACTCAACGGAGTTCAACTTGATGCCAAGCACGAAGTTGGATGATGTGCGCTTGCGTACTTCCTGGCCGATCTCGGTGACGATGCGGGCACGGTTCTCGAGGGATCCGCCGTACTTGTCGGTGCGCTTGTTGGTTGTTGGGGAAAGGAACTGCGCAAGCAGGTAACCGTGAGCACCGTGGAGTTGAATACCGTCGTATCCAGCCTTCTCTAGGTACTCAGCTGCGTGAGCGAAACCTTCAATGACGTTCTTGATGTCCTCGTCGGTTGCGGCGCGGGGCTTAGCAAAAGTCATGCCCATAACGTTGCCTTCCAACTGTACATCGGATGCGGAGATGGGATTCTTCTGGATATTGTCGGCTACCTGGCGACCAGGGTGGCTGACTTGTCCAACAATCAAAGAACCGTGCTTCTTCGACTGAGTTGCAAGTTCCTTGAACATCTCGAACCGCTCACCCTCGTACTTTGAGCCACGAGGAATGATGGGGTTGCCGGCAGCTTCTAGGTGGTCGTACTCGATCATGATGTTACCGGTCAGGATGACACCGAATTCACCCTCACCCCATCGTCGGTAAACGTTGACTAGGTTCTTGGACGGGACACCACGAGCTTCGAGGTTTTGGGGATCCCATGATGATAGGCGCTCGGTCATAGCACCCTTGAGAAATCGGTTCTGAGCAGTCTTCTTGGAGAAAGCAAAGTCGAGAGGCTTGCCCAATGGCGCGGGGTCTACCTTCTCTGCTTCGTATCGTCGCGGTGCCATGTTTGCTGAAATTTGAATGGGTATCTAACAAAAAAGAGATGTCGTGAGTAAATGAAATCAAGGTTTGCAAGATGTGTGTTGGTGAATATGCTGAGATTGAATGCGCGATCAACAAAGGTCTATAAGTAATGTGTTAGTGCTTCAACTTTTTTGCATTTCTAAGCGGTTATATGGAATAGTTGCTAAACAATGACGACCACGGACTCGTCCGAGAACGATCCATAATAACGTCATCGAGGTACGCTACAAGCTAGGCTCGGCAGCGATAGCTCGGCAGATGTAGGCGAAACACAGGTCTAGATCGGCCTTTTATTGGGGTGCCTGGAGATCGAGTTAGGCTATTCGATGAATGAGCTGTTTGTGGGGTCAGGAAATGGCCCTGGGCAGCGCCTTGTGTTAACGTTAAGTGTTATTCCCGTGTCACAGATCCTTCAGGAACCTACCGTATCGGCCCGATAATGATGCGATTGTCATGTGCCTGCCAGCTACGACAATTTCCATCAAGATGTCTTATTCACAATTCAGACATCAAAGACACCTAGGCATGTGCACCGGCTTTTGTGATCGCCTCGAATGAACGCCAACGAAAGTCTAGACTGCTAGCATGCATTCGCAAAACAACACTCCAGCGCAAGACCACAAGCTCCCAACACCAAACGACTAGCTATTGCGATGGCGTGTTGTATTGAATGGCGGTATCCATTGATCAAGCGGTCTAGGCAGTCGCGTAACAACTGAGCCATGCAGCTCTGGCCTGAGTGCGTCACTTGCGTTGCATGGCTTGTGGAGTCCTTGATCAGTAAAGCGCAACCTCAAGAATGTTCCAGCACTTTCGCACAATGAGCGGTGGAGAGATGGAACAACTGTTAGCTGACAACGTGGATGTAAGTTCTGTTCGCAGTCTGCTCGTCGGAAGTCACCGCATCGAAGCCAGGCTGTGGAAGCCAAAGTAGAAGCAAAGAAACGTCTGTCGAAAGGGACCACTGGAAAGACTAGGGCGAATATGTAAATAAATGAATGACCATTCTATAGCAGTCCGGATACTAAAATACACGGCGGATGACTAGGCTATGTTGGATAGCGTCGCCTCCGAGTCTCTTCCCTATCTGGAAACATGATACTCCCTTCACTCTCGCTAGTAGAGTCGCTTCTCCAGATCTAGAAGACCTCGACGGACAGTCCGTTGAAGCCAACGTCGACACAAGTGTTCTGCTGAGCTACAAAGGAGTTCCAGAGTCAGTATATGTTTTGTATCGCTTTGGTACATAGAGACTTACAGATCTCCTTGATAGCATCACCCTGGCAGTCAGTCGATCCAAAGACCCTTAGGGTGAGACCCTTGTTGCTGTCGTAGGCAACCCTGTTGCCAGTGGTGAAACCCTTGCAGCCACTGTTTCCGTTTGCGCCGTAGTTCTTGTATTGCCCGGTCTCACAGTTCTAGATAAGAATATCAAATCAGCAGAGGTTATGCTCAAAGAAGAGGAGCTATCGAAGTTTTGAAAGAGAGACTTACGGTAACGGAGAAAGCGCTGACTGCCGGAGCGAGAGCGGCAGCAATGACCATGACGGAGGCAAGAGTGAATTGCATTTTGGAGTTCTGAGACATCGAATCAGCTATAGGCAAGAGCCAGAGGGGCTGGAGAGACACACTGACAAAGTGTTTGGAGTGGAAGTGGAAGTGGAGTGATGATGTGTTGGACGTTTGTAAGTTGTGTTGGATGATGAGCATTCGAAGAGAGAAAAGGCTGATACTTATACATTTCGCAGGCCTGCCGTACCATGCTGTATTGGTGTAATTTCGAGAATCAAGAGCGCAGATGCTTCCACGATGCGAAGACTTGCGATCAGCACCCCGACGTCTTCAGGCAAGCAGCAGCGGAGTCTCTTAGAGTTGTTGCACTACGTTGAAGGGGGGTCAAATACTTGGTGGCCTAAGGCGTCTTCCGTGCGGAAGGTCGCTGCCAGTATCGTAAGGCTTCCAGTGGTGGAGTTGAAGTGACAGTGGACCAGGCGGATCAACAAGTCACTGCCGGAAAGAGCACAAAGAAAGTTATCCTGCTGTAGCTATCTTGACCTTTAGCTACTGTAGGGTATCTCTTCACCTTCAATATTTGCTGATCGCGTCCATGAAGGTGTTCGCTTGATGGTAGATTCCACATCGAGGCGTCACAGACAGAGCGCCTAATCTTGCAAGTCCCAGCAAGATGATGATAACGATAGCATCATACCCTTGTGTACGACATTGGGGCTGTAACTGCTCATCAGCGGCAATGTACTTGGATCTCCTGCGCAACACTATAATCATTGAAGATGATTCTGTGGACGAATGCTATGGGCACATATTGAATTCAGCAGTCACTCCACCATGTACAGATACCTGATGTTTTTGTTACAGACCAAGCAACGGCAAATTCGATGCTGCGGACTGAATCGCAACAACTAATGAAGGAATGGAGAGCTGTCAATGATTCCCGAGGTTGTACCGCACGGGTGGCGGCGCTAGCGGCGGGTAGTCGATCCTTAGCCCCAGCCTCGCGGCGGGCTCTATACCGACGATGTTCCACTCACTTATGGAGGCTTTTGTACGTGTGATTGCGATCGCCGATAACAAGGCGTCCCGGAACCAAAACAGCTACGTCTCGTTGATGGAATTGACAGAGCTGCAGGGCTACACCGTATACAATCTTCGCGAAGCGAAAAAGTTGGGAGGGAAGGATGGTAGGGGAAGGGGCGAGTTGGTAGCTTTTCGATGAGATCCGATCATCGGACGGCAATGAAGAGTATGCATTCGCCTCTACGCGTCGGAAATCGGAGGAGTACCACGCGCTGAAGCCAGTGATATGACTCGAGCTGAGAGTTACTGGCCCCTCTCAGGCCACCTATGAAGGCATCGCTGGCGCAATCTATGCTCCCTCGCAACCACGATCCTATCTCCATGTGGCCCCAGCTGCCCCGCGAGGCGGTATCCGAGCATGTTCAGATCTAACAAAGATGGTTGTTGCTCTAATCCTTCCTTCTTCTGGGTGCCCGACGAATGTCGCGATTCTGTACGTTGTGTTTTTCGAGATCACCAGTTGTGACATCGCAACAATGACGGAACACGCCGGTCGCTATTGAACACCCTGTACTCCAGTAGATTATCGAGAAGACACAGAATCGTCATTCATTAGTTTCAAGGTTTCATAACAACGTAGGATTTAATCCTTCCACGGACCGCTGGCCTGACTCCGGGGGTAGACCCACACGGCCCGCCTGACCCACACGGAAGTTATGCTGATGGACGCGTAACTATCCACATACGCGCGTACTCCAAGACACTTGTTGTACACATCAAATTGGAAGTATCGTGTACCATGCGACGGATGATGTCCTATCAAACAGTGCATCCTTGGCTCGGTGGTAGTTCGGCCTTGGTGCAAACACAAGGTCGCCGAAGTTACTGAACACCGTTCTGATCGTCCAAGAAGTGGAATTAGGCAAGCAAGGCCAGATTTAAGAGGGAGTGATGGGGTGTACAAGGTCCAAGCCTGAGGCGGTGAGAGCTAGAACTTGGTTATGCAAGATAACATGCAATCATTCATCGGGTACTTGCTGTCGAAAACCATCCCTGAGATGTTAAGCACCTGAGCTGTCTCTTCGAAATAATCGCTTCAATAGTGCTCTTCTGCACGTTCTCTAGGCTTTGACAAACGGTCTGTCAACTCACGTCATCTCATCCACTGCATATCCACCACGAGCCGACTTCGTTGGTCATCTCCATCCACGTACCTGTCGATGAGGTGGCGTAGCTCACTCAAGTAGTGCAAGGAGCTTGAAGTATCGAATTTCACTGGCTTTATCGCCTCTTCGTCGAAACTAGAGGAACTCACTATGTTCTGTATTACACAGCACATAAGCAACCTGATCTGGTATACGCCGGCGGCTTATGTGGTATACTAATCTTCTGATCGCTCGCACTCCTTATCTAAGAATGGCATTTCTTTTGACTAATGATAACTCTCGTGGACTATCGTCTCTATTTTCAATTGCCGCATTGCGCAGCCGAAATCGCGCAGTCTGGCGATCGGATAGTTGAAGACATTGCCGAACTGAATTGCGATCTTTGGCGTCCGGCTAACCAATATCAGCTTCGGCGCAGAAGATCTCAAACTCACTTATATAATCACAACTCTCTGGGCTTTTCATGATCGTTTTGGTGCGGGTTTAAGGTCGTCCTGGCCAAACATTGTTAGGTGAGATATGCCGTCTTCGACTTCTACTATGATCTCGTCGAATGGTTTAGTTGCAACATCCTTACGGATATTCCTTGTTCTGGTAGTGATTACCTTTGATGTCATATTGAAGAATACAGACGATATGCTGTGCTAATGCAAAAGGTGTATGATGAACGTTCTTCTTGATGATGAATGAAGAGAAATAGAACAAGAGGTCATGAGTGATTAGACATCCTCCCAGCACGTAGTGTTATTACAGACCACTCTGACGACATGTACTAAAAGTCTACGGTGATCGAGCACAGGTCAGAATCGAACGCTAGAACGCTCACCATAACGACACTCAGCATCGTGTTACTGTTATTCATCTAAGTGAATTAACAACACACATCAGAGTACATACACGGTGTCCAGAAGCATTTTGTATAAGATCTGGCAGCAGCACCGCGAATATTCCATCTGCCTCGAACAAGCCCGTGTACCACGTAGTCATCTACCTGAATACATTCGCTTTCTGATAAGACGCCTGGAAGGAATGTCTATAGACGGAAACGCCACAGGCTGCGATGGTATCCAAGAGTGCAACCGAAAAGACATCGGCGCGGGGGCTCACGAAGACGAATCTTCAGCATTCTGCGAAACCATGCTAGGCCTTGCCGAATTCCACATCAGAGAAGACCCCTCGCTCGACCAACCCGATCAGCTTACTCTTCGTCACTTTCGGAAGATCTATAAGGTTCCAACGAATGATGATGATGATGATGAAGTTGCTAAATTCTTTGATCATGCAGACCTCAGAGTTTCGGAGGGCGATCCTGCAGATGTTCCCGGTCTCGCAAATTTCATACGACTGGTTTTCAACAACAAACCACCAAAAACATGGGATGATCGTGAAAATGCTAAAAGATGGCTACTGCAGTTCCAGAACAAGGAATACACTGGCGACAAATTCGCTGTTGGACAAACCGTTGGTGGTCGGTGGGTCATCACGTCTCAACTTACAGAAGTCAAGGGTTCGTGTAACCAGGGCATTCTCTTCGTCCTCGATAAACTGAATGGCGAAAAATGTATTATGAAGCTCCTAACCTCAGAAGCCCTAGATCCCGGTCGTTCGAGTCGAGAGATTGGCATTCTACGCCGCCTATCCCATTATAACATAATCTCTTTCTTCAACGCGCATCTACCATGCACAGTTACGGAGCGCCACGCTACGCCCTACCTAGTAACGGAATACTGTGACAAGAAAACCTTATTAGATGTCATCACGCGCTGCAACCAAAACGAAGAGCTCATACCCGAAGATTTTGTATGGCAAGTCTTCGAATCCCTCGTTTCCGCGGTGAAGTACCTCCACCATGGACCTGACAACGCTCCACCTGGTACGTGGGATGCCGTTTCTCACCGTGACATAATTGCATCCAACATACTTTGTACTCTCGCCATACCGACCTTACCATACGAGTTCGAGGGTTGTTCCAACCAGTCACCATATGACTACCCAGTACGCATCAAACTCGCAGATTTCGGCTGCTCCGTCACCGACAGCGAAATGGCAGCACAACCCAAACCCTGGTGGAGTCTACCGGCTATATCTGGTGATTATGAGCCTCCAGAAGGCGCTCTACCAACCGAAGCGGCTGACATGTATCAGATTGGATTAGTCATTTCGCTTATGTATTGTATGACGAACCGTCCCTATGATGATATCTTCACTGCGGGCTTCTTGTATCAAAATAGTCATCCAGGATTTGCTGAATACACATCCGAGTTGCGTACATATCTTGAGATGTGTCTCGATTCTGATGCTAGCCAGCGGCCTAAATCAAAGTCCTTTCTTTCGAGGATCCAGAGTGCAAGGAGGCTGCTGAGCAAGACCGGCAAGTTCGATAACAAGGTAGAGCGTCGTTTTCCCACAACCGGGACAGGAAAGTAGAACGTTTCCCGACAGCTCGAAATGGGTAAAGGCAGGTTGACGAATCATGACTAGACTAGTTTCTCTTTCATCTCTGTTCATCCACATGAATGTTCTACAAGTTGCGTTCTCTTGTGCATATTATAGCTTTATTTCCGATTCGTGGGAATGATACCGCGACGAACGTGACTCATTCTCGGTCTCTCCGAGAAGCAGCAAAGAGATTACGTATCTTGACATTCGTGCATTACCAACGTCGTCGTCGTGAATCTAAAGCTGCTGCCCGCATATCCCACATTATTGAGGTGTGGTCAGCCTCGTTCTGCATTCAGTAGAATAGTTGTAGATCGAATGCCGATCGGTCAGCCTTACCCGAGAGCACGAGGCTGCACGTCAAGTGCGGGTCGGTCGCTCCGAGCCAACATCACGATTGCTAATACTGACATATTAGAAATCGATACAAACCTTGGCAAAGTGTCTAATTTGCGGTCTGAATATGGACCATGAGTCGAAACTGCATCAATGACTCCTGATGCCTTGTCGTGCGTATCGGACGACTGATATCGGTCAGGCAGTGCATGAAACCTAGAACGGTAAGCCAGGTAGCATGCTACACAGGGTACCTGGCAAGATTATAGATGTTGTCCTACGTTCTAAGGAACTATATCTCTCGTCCCTAGCCTTGCGGCACGCGTGTTGTGGCATTGCAGATCCCGTAGGCGTCATCGTGCAACTACTCGGAAGGCGGAAGCGTACTCATTTCAGTCTCGGGTATGAAAGACATGATCGGCGACGAGCCTCGTAGCCTAGAATCCGAGTGATGTGTCAGAAGGCATTATAGGTGAGGCTGTGGCGTGGCTAGTGATGTGCGTCGGGCTATTGTATCTAGCCGTCGGGGATGTAGTTGTCTGACGATGATTGTTACGTTGAATCCAGGTAGGCAGACGCGGTCATAAATCTACGTCCGAGGGCGTTAGTGGGCCCTATACCTAGGCTGATGGACTGATCTATTATTCCAAACACCGAGTACACATGGCTTCCTAATCCACATGTGACTACCCAGTTGGGTAATGTTCAGACCCCAAAATAACCCCAATCCGCTCTTCATATGACTTGAATCTTGCCAAATAAGTCCTAGATAGGCAGATATCTTGCAGCTGACATATGTCCCAAAATACATCTGTACTACTGCAAGTCTGGCCAATGAGCGAGCTCAGCTGAACAACAACGCGGAGATACCAAATCGGGTGAATGCGCTGACGTTAAGGCTCAGTCAGCCCTACAAGCGCTTGTCGCGCTTGTTTGAAGGATGGCAGATTGGTATGGTTTGGGGTCCTATTTTTGGGGCTGTGTATAAGGAAAGCGAAGCTGCAGATATTCTTGCAGCCGTTTGTCGATCCAAGTTGATATGCTGCGAGGTGGGCGCGTAGAGCTTTCGGGTCGGTGATGTGTGTACCTTCATGTGAAAGACGAACCTCGGCGATGTGTGCAATGCTGGTGGTGTGGATGCGTCGTATTGTATTGTGAAAGCTACTGCCGGCGTCGTCCTTCAGCGTCGCATTCTCCGTTTTCGAGGAACGCACCAATTGCCTGGCTCCACAGTCGACAGCGATACTGCACCTATGCTGTACGATCGAATATGCCTACTGGTTAGCCTTGTGTTCCTGTATCGCGTAATTTCCTAGTTCGACAAAGTTGTATCGCCTGTTTCCATTGCGCTGGGTACCGATCGTAATCGGAGTCCATAGATAGCCTCAGGGGTTTTCGCTGTTGTGTTGCTGCAAATCCTCCTGTCCAGTTTGTCGGGATGCCGTGATGCTGGCTCGCTCGTGGGCATCCTTCCGTCACAAAAAACGTGGCGCTTCTCCCGATGCCGAATTGACTGGGAAGCCGAACAAACGTGAGCATCTATGCAAGTCGTATTGGCCAAGTCTTACTTCTTTTGCTCTGAACGGTATGGGAACGTGACGATAGGGCGTACCGGTATCCGGACAGTGCGCATTGAGGCGTTGTCAAGCTTCGAGGCGTATGTCGCCGTCCGAGTTTCGACATGGTTGCGATGCCCATTGTCCCGTGCGTGCAAGTAGTGAAGGTCGACATATTCGGAACAGCCAGTCACGATAAAGAGCAGGCGAGTGCGTCCCGCAGGTGCGGACTAGTAATGTGACCTCACAGTCCTAGTGCGTACAGCCCTCGTCTTCAGCCCACATACAGCAGCAAGTGAACTTTGTTCCTGCATCTTCATGTACCTTCTGGGACAGGCTTCTGGCCAAGCTGGAGTATGACAACGGTAGCTAAGCCTATTTAAAACATAGCGACTGCGCATTCTCGCAACAAGTGGGTCTTGGGGTGCATCGCAGCTGGACATTGTGCGCTAGATGTACCGGATTTCCGTCACGATCGGACTGCACGTCTCGCGACTGGTGCATGTGTGAAAGTTCCTAAACCAGGATCATTCCCAATGTCCGGGCACCAACGGTCGGGCATGGGTAGCAGAGTCCACCAGTTTGAAGCAGCAGGCATATGGGCGGGTAAGGCTCAAACGCTCCGCCATGCACTGTATCCCCCGGTGGTCTCGAAACAGCTCTCTCGGCCACTTAAGCAACCCTATTCGCTGCTTCAGACGACCCAAGGCCATGGCGCGGCCTCCCAAATCTGGAACGGCACGTTGCAACGTTGCCCAGAAGTAGTTCGCTCTTTTGCACATGGCTTGCGAGTACTCGTGTCGCACGCCCAGCATTGCCCTCGCCGAGTATCCACGGAAAACGGCCCCGACGAAGCGAGACGCAGCACAGCAATCGTCGATAGATGGTGACGCGATGGATGAGTAACTATCGGACGATGCGATAATTGACTCGAAACTGCAAGTCGCCCAAAAGCGCGAGCTACGGGAAAGGATGAATTGCCTCGCAAAGGTTAATGCGATTTCTTGGTGTCTGGACACTGCGCAGGTACGCTATCTGGTGTAGGGAAACATGCTTGCCGCGATGATGTTGTATGACTGTATCGTGCGTTACGAATAACCAACCAATGGCAAATCGTCCCGCGCTTGTCGAGAAAGTACGCTGGCGAGGGCTCCACACGTTCCGATCGTAACAGCGTGGGGTGTTGTTAGTGGTGAGGAGAAGACGTGTGGTCACGACGCATGGGGGGATACGTAGCGGTAGGCAGAAATGCTGCGTCGTCAACACCTCGCTCGTCCGGTCACTGTCCAGATGTCCACGAGGGACGGCATTTCTCTCTGCTTTGCAATCGGTATACCCATCGACTCACCAATGGGGGATGCTGTTGCACGATTCCGCACGATTCCATGTAATCAGCAACAAGGATGTCTATCAGCCGCGCACGCCCATCTTATCCACCCTAGCTCGTGCATTGCATTGCGGCTCCAGTTCCCACCCGTGGGCACAGGTCCACCCCCCTCACTGCCACGCATTCCCACGCACCCTAGCACCAACGCACCCACCCACAGACCCTGAAACTTATTCCTGTCTACCCAAGCAAAACGCTTCGCATGCTGCGCAGTCGTCCGGCGAGTAACAGGAAAATGATGACTAGATGCCTTGTTCGTGGCGTGCACCAGGGTACCTCCGCCACCAGTTCCCGCCATTGTGGTTGGTGGTGTAGAGGAGAACAGGTAGGTGAACTGTGCGGTATAAAGACGGTTTGGATGCCTGGACCATTGGAAAGCAGGCAAGAACAGTCGGATCAACTCAGTCACAACACCCGAACGCCCTTTTCCTCTTACCTTTCCTAGTCTGCTTTCTTGCATTTTCTGGTGTCTTTGTCGGCCTCTTGTTTCATATAAGTCGAGTCGCTTCTTCCCTTTGAGTCAAAGTTTCAGTCATCCAGCATCCATTCTCACCTGCTTCTTCCGTCTTCTACCATTATCCCATTGTTTCATCAGCGACTTCCTTGTATATCCTCTACGTACATTGTCTTGGTCGTCATCAGTATTGTTTCATTCTGAGACTACACACCCTCAACTACACAACATTCAAGACACTACCCCAATGGGTCGCGGTGGATACAACTAAGATCCGAGCATTTGTACCAACGTCAAAGACCAAGCACAACTTTGAAAGACCCCACAAGTCAACAAACAACAAAGCCGAACAAACAGACTACACAAGAACAATGTCACCACCAACTCCTCAGGAAGAATCTTCCAACATGGGCCGCGGAGGCTACAACTAAGCTCAGCGGCTGCTCCCGCAATCCGAAACATCTATCAGCATCATGGCGGCGTGGTTCAGTATGACTACGCCTCACGCCATCCCGCCTCGCTACTACCCACAACCCGCCGCACAAACACTTCGCGAGCGACGTCTTGAACGATGGAGGCCATTGTCTATTTCCTAGGGTTCGGTCATATCTTTCTTCTCTTGTCTCCATACTTCCTTCATCACTGTACCATCACTTCTCCTTTCCTGTCTTGTACCACCATCTTTTCTTTCTTTGTTTCTTTGCCAGCCTCTTCTTCTTCTTCTTTAACTTCCCATCTTCACTCGGCATCAGCAAGCGACGGAGTTTTTTGACATATGGATACGAATTACGGAATCATGGGAATATGTATGTTATACGGCATTCTGAGGCGTTGGATAAGATGAGATAAGCTCTTCGTTGAGCGACTGGGTAACGGAATCGGTAACGCAACAGGGGTATTGAATCTAGAGACGGAGTCATTTGGTGTTTAGGCGTAGTAGATTTCACGTTTCTTTTTGCTTTTCTTTTCAACCAACATCATTATCTCTCGACTCTAGATCAGGTGTTTTGTGGAGTTTTGGGTGTCTTTAAGAGACCAGCTGGTCTGGTTGTAGAATGGATAACTGCTGCTCTTTCCGCGATAGAGTTTTGACGTCCTGGCGATATCCCTTGCCACGCAATACAATAGATTATCGTAATGACAGTAGATTTCACAGATGGCCACTGATATCGGAAAACGTGCTCCCTACTTGCCAACACAGAATCTACAGGAATTTGATGTTAGCCAGATATTCGTCACGTGTTCTTTGCAACCGCAGCTCCACGTAAGCCGGCAGGCACCATGGGGAAAGTTACGCCCCGTGCAACAATCGATACTGCACAGACGCGCCCGTACTATAAGCGTTGTGGCTTTCCCCAGCAAAGCCCGCTTAGCCCCCTTTCGGAGGCTGCCGTCTGACCTGGATGGGGCCAAAGTACAGAACGCCTTACGAGGGCTTCCAGAACATGACACAACACGAGGATACGCGAGAAATTGGATTGGGTAACTTACTTTTCGAAAACGACCCCCAATACTTCTTCAACGTCGCCGCTATCACCCCGGCCAGTGATGCGGGCCAAAGCGTCGGCGGCAGAGCGAAGGCACTCTGCGGCGACTACAATGTCGACCTCGTCGGCCTCGCCTGGTTCGTCTTCACCGGATCTGGTTGAATCTGCCGAGGGGTTGGCAACGGTCGTGATGAAGGCGGAGAGGTGGTTGAGACATTCGGAGAGAAGAATACGTTGACGCTCAGTCGCGCCTAATGACTCTTGCCAGATGCTTGGGTCAGGATCTGAGTCGGGAACCAACGCGGCTGTCATAAATTTGAAGGTGTCCTGCAAAGTGGTAAGGAATGTTGAAATGTTGTCGCTCTTCCATGTGTCTGAAGGTGTCATGGGTGACCTGCAGGAAATGAAGCATAGGCGGTCGTTGGGAAGGCGCAGCGCAGAGTGAATCTTCTCCTCCCATGCCGTCCGCGAGAGTTGGAATGTGTGGAGTTGATCGCATTTGTTGAGAGCAACAATGACTTGGATGCCGATGTCAACACACTGCTTTGCCGTCTCCATAACCTCGGGATCCATCTCGGCTGTGGCGTCTTGGACGACGATCAGAACGTCTGACTCCAGCGCTCGTTGCTTCGCGCGCCTGATACCTTCCTGTTCCACAGGCCCAACGATATCCGCACCTGCGACACCTGGCCGACGTAAACCGGCCATGTCTCCAATCTTGACAAGCCATCCACCAAGATCTAGCCCTATCTCAACCACATCCCGTGTTGTTCCGGCTTCTTGGGAGACGATAGCGGCATCCCTTCCAACAATGCGGTTCAACAAGCTGCTCTTGCCTGCGTTGGGCGCCCCAAGGAGCGCAACACTGATGCCATTGCGCAACAATTCTCCACGAACAGCGTTCGCAATGTGCAGCTCCATTTGCACCTGCAGGGCGCGGACTTGGGCTGCGACATTGGCGCATAGGACAGCGGGTGATTCGTCAAAGTGCTGATCTTCCGAGAAGTCAATCAAGGCCTCCAGCTCGCCTCGTGCCTGCAGCAGCAACATGCGCCAATGCTCATATCGTAGGGCTAGCGAAGAGTTGGTACCCCTTACAGAGATAGTGCGCTGCTGTTCCGTCGAAGCTGACAGTGTTTCTCCCAGCGACTCAATCTGGGGAAGGTCCATCCGGTTGTTGGCGAAGGCACGTCTAGTGAACTCTCCAGGCTCTGCGTACCGAATCTGCTTGCGCATCGACTCGAGACCTTCTGATGCCTTTGCGCATTCTGGTATGGCTGCCAAGACTGCGCGTACAATGGCTGGACCTCCATGTACGTGCAATTCAAGGACATCTTCTCCAGTCACTGTGTTGGGTGCGGGGAAGTAGAGTACCAGAGCACCGGAGTCTAGTATCGTTGTAAGTGAAGGAGGTAATCCAGGTGCATACAACTTGCGCAAGGTCGCGTATCGAGGTTTTGGGAAGGACGTGGAGGGACATAGTCCTTTATATATCTAAAAGGCGTTAACATTGCGATAGTGTGTGGAGACGCGAGTCGGACTTGTCTACATGCTGACCCTGAAACGCGAATTACAGCAATGGCTGCGCGTCCATTGGCAGTAGACAGGGCATAGATGGTTGGTTCCTCATGGCTGGTATGGTATAGGCGCTCGTTGGGAGCTTTCAAGATGCGCTGAACAGCATGGTGGGGTCCACATTGCGGCCATGTGGTTCGCGTAAGACAGGAGACCGGCAGCTTGGGTGCTCTCAATTGACTAAGAGCATTGCGACGAAGGGATGAGACAATGGCTCTCATTCCGCAAGCTGAGGTTCTACATCATGGTTGTGTTGGAATTAAGGATGCCGTGATAGCTCCGCTGCACCTCCGCAGTGGCCCGTGCACACGCTAAGATAATAATTTCTTGAGATCGTCGCCTGTCTACCTTCTCACGACAACACCTGTTCCTTTCGCGCAACAGCGAAAACCTCACTCCCCTCCAAAGTCCTTTTGCTATTTTCGCCTCCAGTCACAGAACTACCGTCGCCAAGCATCTCACTTGTTTTGCAGCGAGGCTGAAAGAATTCTTACGCCGCCATGGCTTCAGATGACCTTGTATGGTCCGTCATTGGAACTGACTTTTGCAGCTTCAGTCAGTATTCCCACATGGCAGCATGTATATGTCAATCAACGCTAACCTTTTGCACTCAGAACTCAAGACCACAAAGGACCAGACGTTCTGCAGGAATGAACACAACGTATCGGGTTACTGCTCCAAGCAGTCGTGCCCTCTCGCCAACTCACGATATGCCACGATTCGCTCAGATCCTGCGACCGGAGATCTATACCTGTATATCAAAGCGATCGAACGCGCCCATCTTCCGTCGCAATGGTGGGAAAAGATAAAGCTACCCAAGAACTACGGCCAAGCCCTCGAGCTTGTCGACCAACATCTTGCATACTTCCCCAAGTTCCTCAAGCACAAGAACAAGCAGCGCTTGACACGTCTGACCCAGGTCAACATAAGGATAAGGAAGTTGGCCAAGGAAGAAGAGCGCCTAGGAGAACGCCTGGTTCCTAGACTGGCGCCCAAGGTTCGCCGACGAGAGGAAGGCCGAGAGCGAAAGGCTCTTGCAGCTGCCAAGGTTGAGCGCGCCATTGAGCGAGTCCTCATTGACCGTCTGCGCAGTGGCGCATATGGTGATCGACCGTAAGTTTACACCCCTTCTTCCCCCACAGCTGCCATGATTATTTTTGCTTTTTAACCCTGAGTCCTACGATGAGGACTAAAAACAACAACAACACTCTAATTTTTTAATGAGCACCGTCACAACACCAAGACTTGACTCACTTGTCATATGAGATCGAGGCTAACTCGAGCGCAGGATCAACGTCGAACCAAATGTCTGGAAGCGTGTTATGAACGGTCTACAAAAAGAAGGCCAGCTCAAGGGTGACGAGGACCTGGATGAGGGTATCGAAGATGAAGAGGAAGAGAATGAGTACGAGATGGAGAACGGTGTCGGTGAAGTCGAATATGTGAGCGACATAGAAGGCGAATCTGACGACGACTTGGAGGACTTCGAAGACTGGATAGGTGGCCAGAGTCCAGACGAAGGCTCAGGTGACGAAGACGATGAGAGCGGTAGCGAAGAAGACGAGGACGAAGAGGCATCTGAAGACGAAGACACAGAGGCTCTTAAGAAGACGCTGGCGAACCTCAAGCGTAAGCGTCCTGCTGGCCCGCCTCCAAAGCCCAAGAAGAAGCCATCAAAGGATTCAAAGGGCCCGAGACGCGAGATCGAGTACGAGATGGAGAGAGAGCCTGCTGCGAGAGAAGCTATGCGCGTATAATACCTTTAGCATGGTTACACTATTGGCGTTCATCGATGGGATGTGGAGTTCACGTTCCAATGCCTCAGGAAAAGCGTTTCGTCTTCGCGCCAGAGGCGCACGTTCTAGCGATTCTCGGTCTGATACCATTTCTTCATACGATGCTTCATCTAGAATCACTTCGGAGGCTCGTGAGACCACGGCACAACAAACACAATGTTGCCTGTTTTCATGATGACCCACAAAGTGAAATTGAATACTACGATATTCAAGAAGGACTTCTTTCTCTGTCTCTGAACGTGCAGGTCTCCGATCAACTGACATATCAACTGACATGAACATTTCGATGCCGACTCAATCCGATCTTTGGGCGGGTGATGTGGTAGACGTGGATGCGGTCAGTGAAGCTGAATCTGTACAGAACGCTTGGGGTAATGATCATGCATCTTCTGTTTCACAGTCCAATTCTTCTATTGAGCTAGAGGCATCTGTAAATCCGTTGGACGAACCTTCTACTACATTAGACGCCAATCAGACCGAGACTGCAAAGCCGGACGATGAAGAATATGGTGAGTTCGTAGAAGCGTCCACTGACCCTCTCAAGCGACCCATCTATGATACAACGGAGCAAGATGACGAAACCCTGGGACTTTTAGACAACAGGTCTAGGCCTGTGTGGGAGGTCGAGTGTTACGTTGGTATGGGCATGGTCGAGCCAGTGACCGCTAGTATTGGCATGGCCACTAGAAGGGTCAAACAGATGGCTCGTTGGAAGCGAAACGATACTAGGGCAAACATGATCGTAGCTGAATGGAAGAGAAAGCGAACACAGGTGATTGGACGTGGAACGATCTCTATTGTGGCCGCTGCTGCTGCTGCTCCATCTTCTGCAGGAGATGATTCGGCACAGCTTGCCACTATTCCTGTCAGAGCTGTATCCAACCAGTATCTACAGACGCCCAGGACAACGCCTTCAACCTCCGACCTGAACGGGGTGATCAGACCGGTTCGTTTTGCAGGGTCGGCGATTGACGAGATGGTGGAGACCGAGCGTACGGCCTGGGGACCTTAGGTGTCAAGGCGTTGCCCGGGCAGTTTTCCTGGTGGAATTGCTAGTCACAACTTAAAGACAATTGGTTTGGCATGACTCTGCGTCGCTGTATCGTCGCTTTATATTGAACAGGTTTTGAGCGTGTATCGTGAAGTAGAAAACTGCTTGCATCATCGCCCCAGTCTGGTGCATGTGAAAGAGACACCGACGATAACGTTAGCGGCATTCGATAGAAAATATCGCGGCATTTGAAACAGAATCGCGATGTCACATGGTTGCTTGCGGTTAGTGTTACTCCATGTGCGTGTTAGGAAGGTATTGAAAGGATCTCATATGCAACCCAGCGCAGCTTCAATCACGCGTTCTCCACAAAGAAGCCTCCCTCCAAGCCATCGGCTCCACAGTCTTGTTCCGATCCGAGAAAACTTGGTCTTGTCGCGTGGCTGGCGCACCCTGTCCCTGATGATCAATAATCCCGCAGGCTGTTTCGACCTGTGAGCGGCAAACCTACCTCACCACCACCAGGTACCTGGGTATAAGGGCTTCCCGCTGCTTCGACACGAGGTTCTTTAGGCAGTTGTCACTATGAGGGCTAACAGGCGGAACTACGCTTTTTGGCAAGCCGCCCAAGCAATTTCTTACGTGCGCCGAAGCATCGGACTAACCCGGGGCTTCGCGATGCTTGACCCCAGAGCTAGCAAGGACAACGCCGCGGCGCGAAACACCGCCTCGCGAACTTTTCCTCCCATTGCCGACATCATAATGCGCCGGGACAGCCTAATCTAGTAATCCCGGTGGGCAATTCGTGTCAAACGAGTCAACTGGGGTGACTTGAGTGCGCTGCTGGGCGGACAGTGCTAATGCGGAGTGAAGGCAACCAATGACATGACCGCACCCTGGTATCCCCGTGCGATCGTGTAGTGTGTCTTTCTCCGCACGCCAAACTCCACGGGGTTGGGATCATCAGCGGCTCCAGACCAAACGTCATCGTCGAAGCAAACTGTGGGGATGACGCCGGTAGGGCAGCGCGGTTCGGCGTTATTTGCTGGGATGGGGGACTGAGGTCGGACTCTACTGTTACATTGGTGGCAGTAGAGACGCGACATTTCATAAAGAGAGCGTCGTCGCGCCTGCTGTCATACCTCATCGTATCGCAAACCTCGCCACGAGTTTGGGAAGCGAGCTGGCCTCTGTCGTTGTTTGTTTGCGACGTCCCTTTGATCTGTCACAACGCAACACGCGTACTGGTTACTGGTATTACTATACAACATGGGCAAGTTCTACGGCCTCCGGGGCACTAAGCTCAACATTGCCATTGCTATTATTGCAGGCACAGATTTCGCACTCTTCGGTTATGGTAAGCGCCTGCGCCATGCACTAACAATACACGACCTAACATTTGAATAGATCAAGGTGTAATGGGTGGTTTGCTCACCCTGGGCTCATTCATCAGATACTTTCCCGAAATCGACAGCGTCAACCCACCGCCAGGCAGTTCGACAAGCCATGCTGCAACCATCCAGGCCATCACGGTCGGTGCCTACACACTCGGCTGCTTCTTCGGCGCCGTAGCAACCATCTGGCTCGGCAACATGCTCGGACGCAAGAAGACAATCTTCATCGGCAGCGCCATCATGATTGTAGGAGCCATCCTCCAAACATCATCTTACGGTCTTGCACAACTTATTGTCGGACGATGGATCACTGGTTTCGGAAACGGCATGAACACGAGTACAGTTCCCACATGGCAGTCTGAAACATCGAAACCGCATCGCAGAGGTCAAATGGTCATGATTGAAGGATCGATGATTGTCTTCGGTGTCATGCTTAGCTACTGGCTCGACCTGGGGTTCTCTTTCCTCGAACCGAGCAGCATCGCCTGGCGCTTCCCGATTGCTTTCCAGATTATTCTGGCCCTGTTCATTCTCGTCATGATCCCCGGTCTTCCTGAGAGTCCACGTTGGCTGGTTCTCAAGGGCCGAGAGGCGGAGGCTTTGGAGGTATTGGCTGCATTGAGCGATCTGCCTCAGGATGACAAGAGAATCCAAGAGGAGTTCCAGGCTGTCAAGGACGTCACTCTGGAAATGTCGCGAGGTGGTTTCCGAGATTGTTTCAAGATGAACAAGAACCGCAACTTCCACCGCACAGTGTTGGCGTATGTCAACCAGATGTTCCAACAAGTAAGTTTTGTCAGCGCAGAAGCGATATGCAGCAGTAACTGACCGAAGTCACAGATCTCGGGTATCAACCTAGTCACCTACTACGCCGCAACCATTTTCGAAAACTCCATCGGTCTCTCGCCCTTCCTCAGTCGCCTCTTATCCGCATGCAACGGTACTGAATACTGGATGGCGAGTTGGATTGCCATTTTCACAATCGAGAAGTTTGGACGTCGCTCTTTGATGATGTTCGGTGCGGCCGGCATGTCAATGTCCATGGCTGTCCTAGCAGGCGCAACCAGCAACATTGGTAACACGAGCTTGGGTCTGCTCGCCACCGTCTTCCTCTTCGTCTTCAACTCCTTCTTCGCCATTGGCTGGCTAGGCATGACATGGTTGTATCCCGCAGAGATTACACCCCTGTCCATTCGTGCGCCTGCAAACGCCATTTCCACCACCGCCAACTGGATATTCAACTTCCTCGTCGTCATGATCACTCCTCCTGCATTTGCAAACATCGGCTACCAGACCTACATCATCTTCGCCGTTATTAACGCCGCAATGGTGCCCTCCGTATACTTCTTCTTCCCGGAAACTGCGTACCGCTCCCTCGAGGAGATGGACGAGATCTTCCACAAGGCAACGGGTCCATTCAACGTCGTTGGCATTGCGCACGACTTGCCACATCGGTACGGAAAGAAGGGCGAGCTGCTCATTGATTATGCGGATACAGAGCAGGCGCACGATGCAGAGAGGAGGAGGAGCTCTGTTGTGGCTGTGCAGCCGACGAATGGGGGTGTGTTGGCCAGAGACGAAGAGAAGGAGATTAGGGAGCATTTGGAGAACGGTGGGAAGTAGATGTCCAAATCTGGACTGAAATGATGAACATATCGTATTTTACACCGTTATGTGCATGCATACCCTTCGTCGTGAAGCCGTCAGTGTGACACGAGCTGATTTGCCTTCATCATAGATGTCTTAGAAACTCACACGCTATGGTTAGGGAATACCATGAACCAATGTTCTAAAATTCTGCCACGCAGAAGGCTTCCGGCTGGAACGTCTGGGTCGGGATGCGGGGAAACGAAAGTCACCAATGACTACCTGGGTATTGCCCTACCAACTTCAGGCCTCCAGCACACTCAAAGACACACCTCCACTGTTGAGATCAGATCAAGCCTTCACCGATCATAGTTCTCCCGCGGAGCGCCTAGTCCGGAACGCCTCTCGATAGACCTATGTATGTTTGCAGTAAAGATCGTCTCCCTTGGACCAATTCGTCAACACTAATGTCAAGGGACATCACAAGCTTAAGAGAGAAACTACCAGAACGATCTTCCCGATTAGGTACACAGTCTCGGCCTTAGCCGCCTTCTGGAAGTCTTCAGCTCTGGCTATCCAACCTCATGACGCTAGTGTGTGATATATCCCTACTCACTGCAAGAACAACACATCTAGATGAATATCCTCTGCATTAGCGTAGCGAGGCTGGCGATAGCCAGAGCTGAAGTCGTCGAAGACATGTTCTGAGCAGATCAAGTGGTCTGTAGGGGAAAAGAGAAGGGTGTTTGTCGTGTATAAAGAACCACTCGGTGTGCGTAAATGTATCCTACAACTTCCTTCACTTCAGCTATCATCTCAACGAAAATGCTTCTCAAGAATCTTCTTTTGGCTTCTGTCGTGGCTGCGGCTCCCGCAGACCTGAGAACCGTGTAGTGAACTGCAAGGCTATCGATCTGGTTGTCAAAGCACTCAAAATCGCACCAGGGGCTAGCAAATACTGTAGCAGTGTCTTGCATATTGCTACAACTACGGTTCAGACCACATCTACATCGACGACGGCCAGTACCAAGTAAGTAAAATATGTTCCAAGGTCAAGGAGACAATGTTTGAGTTTTGAACACTTGGGTTATCGCATCATCTAAACATAAGCCTAAACTTGATCTGACCTCTGCTAGGCTAGTATCGTAACGACTACGATTACATCAACCGCATGCCCAGCTCCAACAGCCGTTAAGAAGCGCGAGGCCTTTCCAACCACAGCAGTGAGCAATGCATCTCCATCCAAAGCCAACCTGCCTGGAATCCAGAATTGTGGTGGCGCTCCTCTACCAGGCTTCGCTTGCTCACAAATTTCTTCAGCATGCAGCTGCTTGAATTTGCCTACACCAGCCACAACCACCACTATACCCACCATGACTACTACCACGGTTACTTCTACGATCACCTCTTGCGTGCCGCCACCAGTCCCTACATGCGACCAGCTTTTCGTTTGCGGTGCCGACCTGCAATCTTGCTCTGGAACTTCTGGTTGCTTCTGCTTCGGAAGCGACAAAAGGCCTATCTGCGCCAATATTGCTGGTCTCCAAGGTCGTTGCAGCGACTATCCATCATGCAACACAGATGCGGACTGCGCTGCTAGTAGTGTGTGTGACCCGTTATGCTGTGGAAGTGGACTTTGTTACCCAGTGGGTACTTGCACAAATTCTGCAGTGCCTTCAAGAATGTTCAGAAGACGAGGTACTGCAGGAAAGGGTTTGCGTTTGTTGGAGTTACTTTACAACCCGAATTGGAGAGACGTTGTACCTGGGGCAGATAGTGCAGCTCGGATGTAATTATTGCACTCAGTCAATTATCAGCTTCCTGCGGGTAGCGAAAACCCACTTCAGGCGAAGGATGAATGCATGAGTACTGGAAAGTAATAAGATATTGCAATGGCAACATCCAATAAACAAATTTAAGTATACCAATGCGTCTGAGCACTTGGTAAACACTTCAACCCGTACCCAGTAGCCCTCCCAAACATCCAACATCTACTTTCCCTCCGCCTGAGCCCGCGCTGCAACCCTCGCGCTCTTCCGTGTCCCAGGCGTCTGTGAAGTCTTCAACCTGGCAGGCGCCCTCGTCACGTTCTTAGGACGACCCGCCCTCGGAGTCTTGAACTCTACTTGTGTCTGCGGCGCTTCGAGTGGCTGTGTCGCTTCCGAAGGGCTACCTCTAGGGATTTCTGGTGGGCTTGGAGCCGCGCTTCTAATCACCCTTTTAGGTGACGAGCCGGCAACAAGTACTGGGAAGTCGTGTGATGATGCCGAATCCGGTGTAGAAGACTTAGCTACAGGCGGTAAATAGGCTTGGCGGACTGCTGGTGAAGGAGCTGTCGTGGGTAAGGGAGAAGGACTAGACGGTAGTGCTACGTCTTCATGAAATGGTGATGAGTCTGCGGGTCCGGGCGGAGAAGATGCAATGAATCCCTCACCATCCTCGTCGCTATCTGAGTGGATTGATATAAAATCGGGCAGAGTGTCACCAACATCCACTTTCTCCTCCTCGGATCCTTTGGCATACTCTTGCTCAAGACTCTTCGTCGAGCCCTCCGCACTGGCTTGCAAGTCAAGAGCTTGCTGGAGAGTCTCATCAACTCCGCCTCGGGCTGGTTGCTCGAGCTTCTCTTCTTTTCGTACCGTGTTCGAGATTTTCTCTTCATCAGACTCCTGCACTGGCACATCCGTTGGAATCCATTTCTTGAAGCGGCGGCGGCCTTCTCTTTCTCCTTCAAGATTCTTGTGAAGTTTGCGACTCTCTGCAACACGATACTGTGTGGTGTCTACCGCAGGGCTCACATGTGGTGATAGACCTTCTCGTATAGGGAAGAGCCAAGTCCCATCAACAGCGCCTTCCGTCTTCACGGCTAACGTGCTGGGTGGCCGATGGAGTGAAGTTGTGCTTCGGGGCTTCACGGCTGTCTTGGGGCGGCTTTGTGCGCGTGGCTTCTTATGACGATCAGGAATATCCTTCGTGGTAGTATATGTCGAAGGCGCTTCATCAACAGGTGGGTTTTCCTTTTGGAAAGCAGGAGAAGAGTAGATGTTGTGATTGTCTTTGCCAGGACCATCGTTGGCCTTCCGAGCGATCTTCGGTCGTGGCGTGTCTGTGTGTTCGAATGAGGACACTTGGTCGCGTCGAGGTGTGAAGTTCGATGGTTGGAGAGTTGACTTTGAGTCTTCCTCATATGAGATGACGTTGCCACGAGGACAGGCAAGCCTTGATGGTTGTGAAGCAGGTGTAGCATGGATGTCATACGCATCACCACGACTACGGCGAGGGGTTGGGTTTGAAGGCCATGTAGCTAGAACAGGTGAAGACTCGTTCGAGTCGTCGTCGGAGCCAGGTGATGTGGGTAGCGACCGCTCATTTGCTGGCTTTTTGTACGAAAACGGCACTTGGGCTTGATCGAGACTGTCGTAATCAGGCATGGTCATATCCAGGTCCAGGTCCAGGTCCTCCTCATGGGATAAGTCCAGCTCCTGAGACGTGTTTCCATTGCGTTCAATTGAAGGGGAAGGCGACTGAACGACAACCCCCAGTACGTCGCCAACAACGTGCGCCTCAGTAACCTGTACATCGGTCTCCCCAGGACGATCGAACAGTGCGTCATCTTCGTCTTCGACCGCTGCACTGTACATCCTCCGCTTCTTCATAATCTCCTCTTTCTGCAGACGTGCATTAAAATCCGTCTCAACCTTGCGCTTGACCTGCGATATAGTGGCAGCGCCCTCCGATTGAGTTAGATGAACGCCGATCATATAGTTGACCTCTTCGCTGATCGTAGCAAGAAGTTTCTCTGGCGTCTGCATGCGCTCTTTCAGGTTGGGGAGGCTTTGCAGAACACGCACGACATGGAAGACGACCAGTTGAATCTTTCTGCGGTCATCTTTGTTACGTTGTAGGAAGCTGTACAGAGCTGTCGCTGCAGCTGCACCTCCTATGAAACCCAGCAGTAGATGTCCATATGGCTGGAGGTAGGAAGGGAGTGTGATTTCGCCGAAGAAGTATTGGGTCAGGGTCCTCGCAATGGAGGATAGAGGAGGCGAGGCTTGCGTCGCCTGAGTTTGTTTGGATAACAACATCGTGGTAGTGGTTTGTGCGAGCAAGGTGAACTTGGCCGCCTCAGACGCCACTTTTGAGGTAGCATCCAGGCTGATGAGCGAAGCAGCGTTGGTGCTGGGATGACCGAGCATATTGTAGTCGATTTCTAGGAGTTCGCGTGGCAGTGAAGAGCAGGCAACGATAAGTTGTAAGCGTTGCAGGACTTTCGCGACTCAATCTGAGCCGTGTAACCCTTTAGATGGATGCAGTGTCTTGATTAGCGGTAGTGGTGCTCGATTTGGTGTCTGATATCTGTTTACGTCGCAATTGCAGGAGACTGGAATTGCACGATGGTGTAAAGCACCAAGCTACCGACTTCGATGGGTGGAAAGGTTGTATATATGAAAACAGCAGCAATCAAGCAGGATGTTACTTTAAATCTGTTGATATGCGCAATGCAAGTCTGATTCCGGCAGTAATCGGGATAGAAGAGCAATAGACAAAGGATGTGGTGATCGAAGGAACGTGCAGGCTCGACGCGACTGTTGTGATATCTTCCAGGCAGAAATTTGAATGCCTTAGTTGGCTGGAGAACCAAGAGAATGACGTAACATTGGTGTTGTTGTTGAAAGTGAATGCGTGATCGGCCATGTGCAAACGCACAAACCCACACCCCCGAAGTGAATGCGAAACATGGTAACCAATCGATCGGAGATGGAGCGACAACAACGACTATCTCTCTAAGCAATCCAGTCACGGTACCACAGGAGCTAGAACTCTACGTTGATCATCTGTAGCGTGTTAGCCATTCGAAACACAATATGAGCATCCAGGTACCATACCTATCGCCTATGCTCGCATAGTACCTTCTCATCCGTCTCCAATCAAACACCCTTAACCCTTCCTACCCCTGTCAGAGGAATACCGACCCCCCTCTCCCTGCCTTCCTGCCCCCTCCCCTCACTCGCCGCTCCTTGTCCGAAACTATTTTCCACTCTCCCATACCCCACACCACCACCATACAACTCCCTGCTGCTGAAAGTTCTTCCTTTAAACGGCCGCGCGTGACCAGATTGCTTGAGCCATTTTGCAAGGAGGATGCCGACAGTGCACCAAACAGCTGCTATAAGGAGGGCTAGAGGGACGAAGAAACCCATGAGGATGATGGATGCTGAGCGAAGAAGTATGCTATAGTATAGATGGTTATATAAGTACTAATTCTTGAGAAAGAGAACAAAAGTACTGCAAACAAGGAAGAAGCTATGAGTGAGGTTGTGACGGAGACGCGGAGACCGTCGGGTGTGGATTTGGCTGGTGGCACGCTAAGGGCTGGGGAAGATGGGGTAAAAGCTTATATAGCTTCCTCCTATCCGAACCTGCGGATCGACATCTTGGGCCGACCAGCTATGCTATTGGCCGAGAAAAGAAGAAATCGCAAGAACTGAACAGTCGATACGCGACGAGCGAACACGAGGCGATTTGAATGTTGAAAGCAAGATACGATATAAGAAGCGAAGTAGTAGCACCCACATCTACCAAACCATACGCACTCGACGGGGTATACGCGCATGCACAACTCTAAACAAAACCACATCCTCAAGACTGACTGCTCCCACTAGCCTCATCCTCCGCTTTCTTCGTCTTCTTGAACCTCTCCTCCGCAGCTCTAGCAAGCACCTCCCTCCTGCTCAACGCACCAGCATGCACACTTCCACTCCCGGCACTACTAACCACGGTCTCTTTCCCACTACTCCCCAGGGTAAACTCGCCACCCGTCCATCCCCCATGATCATGCACCTGCTCCCCATCATCATCAGGATTGTAAAACTCCTCATCCCCCACGCTCTTCCCTCCACTCTTCCAATCATCCCTCGCAACCTCCCGTTCAATCTGCTTGCACAGCTCCCAGAAATTCCTATCGTGCGGCCCCCAAACATTATGCGCAAGCTCATGACACAGTGTGTTGCGTATAGTCTTGTAATCCCTATATCCGTCATACGCATCCGTCCTAAGCCGTAGCTCGATAACCTCGCCTTGGTTTCTGTTTAGCCCCAGTGTACGGGACTCCATTGTGGTGTGCATGGCGGGATCCATTTCTGTGAGGAGGGGAACGCTGAACTTGTGGGTTCGCATGGCAGCTTTTATGCCGGCATCGTCGCGGAGGCGTTCGAGGAAGCGGAGGGAGCGGTCCGGGTTCGGCAGATACGGCAACGGCCGCAAAGTGTGGAATGTGTATTGCGCCTCCTCTTGTATCTTTTTGTAATCGCGATTTCGGGCTGGGGTCGCGGCTTTTATGGGGCCGGGGCGGCGGGGGGCGGAGGCGGCGGTTATGGTGTTATTGAGGGACGACACGACCTCTGATGTGCTTCCCATGAGGGTTATCTTCTTCGAGACGAGCTCTGTAAGCGGGAGAGATGGATTCTTGAAAGGGGGTTTTTGAAGGCCGATTTTGCCGCCTACGAGAAACTTTTGGTTCGAGGGTGGTATTGAGAGGTCTGTCGCGACGCGCTCTGAAAGATCTGAAATGGTGGCATCTTGTGCAAAAGGTAATGCGATTGCTTTGCCGTGGTGCGAGAGGGTTATTTCAATGTTGTCGCCGGATGTTGTTGGCGCAGAGGATGCGTCGGCTTCTGTCATGGCAGTCTTGTTGTAGTAAACGGCGAGAGGGACGTTGAGGCGATACGAGGTTCCTGAGTATAATCTACTATACGATGTAAGTGGTGGGTTAGTGGTAGATCAAGATATAAAGCTTCGCAGCATGTGGCTGAGCTTTAGCCATCGTTGTTTCGGTGACGTTCTCCAAGGCTTCCACGAGATGACGCCCGGGTCGCCATCGGAATTTGTCATCACTAAACTCCGATGCCCAGGCGCTGTTCACTATTCATCACCGCCATCATCGGCCCGTCCAAGGTCTTCCATGCTCGCGCATCTTGGTATCAAAACGCAAACGAAACGACTCGCTTAATATCATGATCAGCAATTGCTTGTTTGCACTACTCAACCGCCACCGGCAACGGGTATCAATAAATCTTGTACTAGAAACATACGCTGGCAATGCTCAAGTTATGTCGTAATCCAACATGAGATGATCAAGCACCACACCCCAGCATTACGGCCAGCTGGAATACTACTCCAGCTTGGACTCTTCCACTCTCTTCACGTCTAGCTTGGATTCTTCCCCCACCTTCTTCTTCTCCTCATCTTCTTTCTTCTTCCGTTCTTGTTCTTCCTTTGCCAGTGTCTCTGGTGACTTTACCCATTCCTTGATGTTGGCATCCCATCGGTGTCTATGCATATTTAGTTACGGCTTCCCTTGCAGGCAAGAAGGTCGACTTACCCATTAAAATCCGTTTCCAGCAAAGCCTTCTCCTTGTACTCATCCACGAGTATCTTGTCGTAATTGTAAGGTACCTTCGCCGGGACGCCCTCGAACATTGTTTCCCGCATGGGATACAGTTCCGATGTGTCGTACCTGTGGTAATTCTTACAACTCCACTGTCCTGGGTTTTCGTCTGGGTGTGTTTCGCTCAGTCCGGTAATGTCGATGAACAGCCCATTGCGCACGTCGATCCATCGCGCATCGATAATGTTCATACCATCTCCACGCTCGCGCTCCCAGATCCACGGGTTGACATCGAGAAGGTATTCGCGCTGAACGGTGCCGTCGTAGGAGGTATAACGGTATTTCGTCTGGTTGTGTTCTGCGCCTAACTGCATGAGCGTGGAATGGGATACTTGTGTATCGAGGTCAAAATCCCATGGCAGACGCTGTACATGCGTTAGTGATTATCGCAAGTCACCGGAGGCGGAACGCACCTGTCCATTCCACCACCATCCAAGTAATGTTCCGTGCGCTATCCAAGTATCGAGTTCGTTCTCACGGAAGTAGTTCAGATAAGCGCGGACCATGTGCGATTGCGTATCCGTTCGCTCTTCATCTGAGACGATGCCATTAAAATAGCGCTTGTCATAGTGGCCGAGAGTGAGACTGCCTCTGGAAGCTTGTTAACTCCTGTGGTGGCAATGACGAGTTGCGAGGCTGGGAGATTGCTTACCCAGGCTCGTGGAAGTATTTGGTATCAGGCTTCTTTGCATCCTTCCTCTCTTCAATACGATCCGCCCATACTTTTTGTCTTTGCAGCTTATGACTTGGTGTGGGTGTGGCCAGTGTGGAAACAAAGAGTGCTGCGGATGCAAGCGCAGCTGCGCAAGTCGACAAGCGCATGGCTGAGTTTGGAATCCTGCACTGGGCTCTCTAGATAGGTATGTCGTCTCAAACACAATACGACGAAAGGGTGTTGACTGGAAGTATCACTTGTCGTACGATACTATTATGATCGATCAAAAACACCAAGGCAATACGGAGTGAAAGTGACCAGCGCTTCAGGAAGGTGATCGCGTGCTTTCAAAGTCGAACGATCGACAGGCGTGGGGCGAAGGAAGGCGGGAATAACGTCAATGAACCTCTAGCAATGGCAGGCGAAGCTTCACACATAAGGTGAGAAAGGAAGAACAACTAAACCACCCATGGGGTCAGAGCGTGCGGGAGGGGAGTCAAAGTACTTCATGACGCGCACGCGACAGGCTGCCAGTCTGTGCCTGGTGCCGCCCACATCATCCACTTCCTCAGCCTTGTCCTACGTATAGCCATTGATTATCCCCTTGTCGGTTACAGGTGTGCCGGTTTCCCGGGGTATCGTGGATTTGGTGGAGGCTTGCGAAGAAGCGTTGTCCAGTGACACGCGGCGTTGCGTGGTTAAGCTTTCCAAGATTTGTATGCTGAGCGGTTTCGGAAGTCGGATGCCGGCTGCCGGCCGTTGCGCGCCGTTTTGGTGTGGCACAGAAGGGAGCAGCTGTGGCTGGTGGGTCTTTCTTTGAAGATCTTAATACAACCCAACATGAATATCCTCGTCCTCATCATGCTCCAACTGTTGATCTGCTTCGAGGATTTGGGTCGTGGCGTTGGGTCTACGTACTCCAGTAGTGAAGTCGCATGCGCATCTGCGCCAATCGGGAATGGACGTCTCACTAGGGAATGTCTATAACCAAGGCCTCGTCAGCAGTCTATCGTTTTTCGGCCTTAAATCCGACCCTTATCGAATGACAATTACGCGCCTGGATCTGAGTTCATCCCTTTGTATCTGCGCAATTTCACGCCTGCGCGTCCATGTTTGACGTTGCACAGCCATCAGCGTACACGCTTGTCAAGTACGAGGATAGCTGGTCCGTAAGAGCGGTTCGCCAATCTATGTTCCTTAGACATGTACGACACGTGCGATGTAGATTAACATAGCACAGACCATCGTACAACCACATAGAAAGGCTGTCTCCTTTGTATCGCGCCTTATTAGTGTGATTGCACCTGCGTCTTCATGTTCGCAGTCATGGACTAGTAAAACGGCCGCTGGTACCATGAGAAATAACGCTGTTTGTATTTGGTATTACACTTCCAGACTTTTTGCTACGCCGTGGCACTGGTTACCCTCTATGCAAACACACTGAACCAGACATCAGACCAAATCCTTGTACGCCGTTGAGATTGAGTTAAGGTTGTCTATGAGACGTCCATCGCTTCGGCGCCGTTGGGAATCGAAAAGGAGACGGCGCCCGCATCGCCGATTAGACGCTGTTCGGAATCGGAGACGAACTGTTTGTCGCATTAGTGATATCCAACAGGTCAGTGCGTGGAGACTTACCTTGACACTTCTTGTGGGGTCATAGAAGAGCGCAAAGCTTCGCTGCACATCATCGATGGTGACCTCCGGCCCGTTCCTCTTCTTGCGTATCAGGTCGGAAGTCGTGATTAGGTTGCTTGCGTATCGCAGTCCGGTCTCCTGGCCAATCTTGGTAAGCAGTGCCAAAGCATCCGGAGAGACATCGACCTCCTCCTCTTGCGCTCTTATCGAGATGATTTGCTGCATCTCTTCCGAGGAGTATGCGTGAGTGCTGACAATGACTACACGGTCAAGGAAGTCGAGTGGCAATCCGTGTGGTGACCTGTAGTCTGTTCCCCGTATTTGTGTGTTTCCCCTGTTGCTAGCCATGATGACGATCGGTGCGAGCTCGTCCTCGAGCGCGCGATTGACGAAGGAAAAGCATTCAATGTCAAGCATGTGGACCTCGTCGATGAACAGTACACCTGGCACAATGGTTGCCTTGCCCTCTTCCTTCCACTCTGCGACCTTGGTATTGATCTGGTCTCGTACTTCACTGCGGATCTCGCCTGTGTCACCAGAGAAGAGCGCTAGGAAGCCCTGAGTCCTCGAGTTTATCACGTCGATCTCGTGCAGGCTGACTGTGTGCACAACCTCGCGCCGTTGTTGCAGCTCGCCTTCTGGGCATTGGACGAATTTGGTGTCGATGCCCATCGCATCGTAGTCTCTGGAGCGCGTGTACGAGCGGCCGAGCTTGGTGATCTTGCCCGAAGCCTTGTCGATAGAGATAATGTCGCCAGCCATGACTTTCTCCTTGGTCATTGCGTCGATCATCTTGGTGCCCATGTCGTAGACAGTCTCCATGTCAGTCGTCTTGATGGTAAGCTTTCCTTGCTTGTTGCTCTGCACTGGGGTCAGTATCGCTACCTTGCCACAACTAACCTCGTACTCACGCCTGTGACGCTGCGGTCAATCTGTATCTCAACAACCTCGCCCTCGATGACCTCGCTCTCCTCTGTTATCCGTACGCCAATCGACTTCCGGAAGGCCTGTGTAAGCGCCTCGGTCTTTGACATCTCCAGCGAGAAGATTTCGGACGACGCAAGCATTGTGAAGGGGACATCGGGGCCCAGCGACTGCGCCATGCCCATTGCGATGGCCGTCTTTCCTGTACTGGGAGGGCCTGCAATCAGGACTGCGCGACCAGCAATCTTTCCATCTCGTGCCATCTTGAGTATCACAGCAGCTGCCTTCCGTGCCTTCTCCTGCCCGACAAGGCCCTGCGAAGATACCTTGGGCTCGAGCGTGTCATCGTCGACACCGAGACCGCGAATGTGAGAATGCGCCGCGATGAGATTGAGACCGCGGAGCTCCTTGCTCTCGGCGATGGTGGTGATGGGCTACGCATTGTCAGTCAGGTGACGCAAGAGTCACATCTCTCACCTACCATGGCCATGATGATGTGTTGTCGTGGGTAATTTCCGCGGCGTTATGCGACAGCGATAAATCGCGAACGCGAAGATGGAAGCTCCAGTAACGACGCACGGGCCCGCTGCCTTCCGTTTGCTAAGTAGTGGCATTGGGCGCGTCGACGCGACTGTCCCCGGACCGCATCCCCAACCTAGCCCCTTCCCTACTGGCGTACAACACAAGCAGCCACAAAGCCTATTGACATCCAAAGTCTGTTGACCTTGTTCCTTAGGACTATTTGAGCCCTTGGGACCTCCCTCTCTTACCCTTTCCGCTTTGTCTTCATCAATCTTGCTGCTTCCGCCACCCAATCAGTGTATTGGTTGTGCGCAGGAGCGGCTTCAGCGCTCGTCCCCTACCCTTACTTTACATGCCGACCACACAACGACAACATGGCTAGTCGCCCTCAAGTCCCTACTATCTCGACAAACACTTCCCGGGACAATGCCAATGGCGACTGTATGCAGACAGACAGGTATACCATGCCCTCACTTGCTCTCTCACTTGCTCTTATTTCCTCTCACATTCCATCACAATCCATCACGTCATTGTCACTTGCTTTTTATCTACTGCGATTCTTCACTAGTGTAGCAGACTCAAAGTACGCATCTGAACTGGTATCACTTAAACACCGTCCTCAAGTCAAAAGACTGCCCTGCACTAGTTACAAGCGTTTGGCATCTGAAACACACTAGGTCAGGACGGACCGTTCAACAACGACATTCCCACCCAACACCCAAGCTCTATGTAATACATCTACTAATGTATCACATAGTCCGCATGCTCGAACACCGATCATGTATTCGCCTGCGCTCAACGACCCAGTGGGCTCGCGCATCGGCAAAAGGCCCTTAGATTCTCAGTCTCACGGCGAGAGTCCTCCAGATAAAAGGAGTCGCCCGCCCGATTGGCGGACGGTGTTGCAAGACAGGGTCAGCTAAGTCCTCACTCCTTCAATCACCAGTGCTGACACTAGATTAGTACGCCAAATCTACAGGCTCCAGAATACCGAGCCCTCCACCATCGAGGAAAAGCTCTTATGCTGGAATTGCAAATGTACCTACCGGTCCGAGGCTAGCTTCTGACCAGTATAGGCCAGAAGGCCCTCAAAGGCGCCAGAGTACTCTGGTTCAGTCTCCGAGCAGTATAGCGAGTGGGGCATCGACACCTACTCATCATGCCCCTCTTGCTCCTTCTATGCTACCAACAACAGACTTGAGCACTCTGCGACGACCTGTAGAGGTAAAAAGTCCTGTTATGGACAACATTCCAATCACCATGCAGTCCTTACGAAAACTGAAAGAGAGGAGAAGAGCGATTGCACATCAAACAACCGCCGGCGTCAGCAAGACCCTCGAGGCTAAGCTCGCCACCCAAGCAATGGACATTGCGTACCTTAAGAAGGAACGTGACCAAATCATCAGTGACCGTGAGAAGGAGCTCAACGAACTCAAGAAGCAGATGGAGAAACATGATCAGACGAAACGCAGACTGGACGATGTAGAGGCCGTGTCTGCCCGCGTTCCTAGCCTAATGGACAGGACAGAGACTTTCAAGCTTGTAAACGCAGCTGCCAAGCCTATAACAGAACGCTTGGAAGCACTAGAAAACTCAGCTACCGGGCTCCCTGATCTGACAAAGGGGCTGCAAAACCTTGCAGCTGTGCCAGAAAGACTAGCTACACTGGAGTCGCGACAAGCTGCAAAGCCTGAACCGGACCAATTTAATGTATTTGCCAAATCAGAGCTTAGCTCTATAAGAGGCAGGCTTGACAGCACACTCGCAAAGGTTCACGGGTTAGAGAACGACATCACCACGTTGAAGACTGCGAAGGAACTACAGGGGATCGATATTGGCGCACTGAAGACATGCAAGGACGCGCAACCTAAGGCGGTATCTGAAGTAACAATTAATAACCTCATCGCAGCCCAAGTCGAAGAGAAAGCTTCCGTCGTCTTGAAAACCTTGAGCGAAAAAACAGACGAGGCCGATCGCAAGCTTGCCGAGCATTTCAACAATAAGAAGGCCGAGATTCGCAGTTACCAGCTTGAATTGCAAGAGTTCAAGAGCTTCAAGGAGAATTATAAGCAGGAACTTGCTA